TACCAGCTATGACTACATGACCAGCTGCAGAAACAAGGTCTGTAACTGTCATGAGTATTTCCTCCTCCTTTTGTTAAAAACATGTATGTGCATGTATACACTTGTGCTAAGAAAAGATCTTTGTTTTATTTCCTTTTCCTTTATCGTGTAACAAGATTTACTGTCTTCATATCAGCATTTAAGTATAGTTAACTTTATGTTATACAATAACAATCAGGGTTGGGGATTGGTGCATAATAATTATGACCTTATTATTGTCTTTATTTGAAGACTATGTATGATCTCAGGACATGTGTATGGGTTCAAGTTGACAAGGAACGGACTTGTGGTGGTTAATACTAAGTGTCAACTTGATTGGACTGAAGGATACAAAGTATTAATACTGGGTGGGTCTGTGAGGGTGTTGCCGAAGGAGACTAACATTCGAACCGGGGGTCTGGGGAAGGCAGACCCACCCTTCATCTGATGGGCACAATCTAATCAGCTGCCAGCTAATATGACACAGGCAGAAAAACGTGAAAAGGGGAGACCAGCCTCGCCTCCCAGCCTACGTCTTTCTCCCATGCTGGATGCTTCCTGCCCTCAAACATCAGACTCCCAAGTTCTTCAGTTTTCAGACTTAACTGGCTCTCCTTGCTCCTCATGCTTGCAGACAGCCTATTGTAGGACCTTGTGATCATCAATACTTAATAAACTCCCCTTTATATATAGCTCCCCTATTCGTTCTGTCCCTCTAGAGACCCTGGCAAATACACCTATGGATTCAGTGTGGTCCCTGCAAAGAGCTCCTCGATGGCAACACACCAAGTACATGCACACACGTTTAAACATGGCACGCACACATCCTCAGACACGCATAGGATGAGAGTGGGGGCTTCTAGCAGAACAAAGTGAGGGCACTATTCCTCATGAAAGCCTCGTTTCTAAACATGCTCCGCTGCTCCTCTGGAGAGCGTCCTCTGCTGCCAGCTCAAGGGCCCACAATCCACTCCAAAGAGGGGGCTCACGATGCCTTCCTGTGGGCTATCAGGGGTAACAGCATGCTGCAAAACCAAGTCCCACAGCAGATGACACTGACAACCTCAAATGTGTCTGAAAATCACTTCCAGAAGCCACTCACAGTGGATTTTGAGATCCACAAACCCTATCTTTTCAGTGTAATTGCCTTATGCTGGGTTACTTCTAAAAAATCCACAAGGAGAAATACAGGGGGAAAAAAAAAACACACTCAGCTGAACTCTTACTGTGGTGGCTCAGACTCAGTCCAGGATTCACACTTAGAGGAGTTCACTTAAGAATTAAAGAAAATCAGAGTACTGTCAGAAAGACTAGCTGGAACAAGTGTCTGTCCCCATTCCAAAGGTGTACCCCACTTAGCAGCTCTGTAACCTCAACACTCTTTCGCAAAGGTGAGCAACGAGACCCTCCTCCTCTGCCCTGGCTCAAATGTTCTCCTGGAAGTCCACTGGTGCCACCTCAGGCCTCTCGGCCCAGGGCTGCTCCCACTGGTCCCCAGGAGAAAGAGCACTACAGCTGGCAGGGCTGGGCTAGAGATGGACTCACAGCATGGACAGGGCCTGCCCTAGCCCTCGGTCTCCAGGCAGGCTCATGCAAGCCAGTGCCACCCAAGTGAGTCACAGACTAAAGTGCATTTCCTAACAGTTATGTCTATCAAGTTGACATTTCCACCCCTCAGCATGGTGCCAGTGCCACACTCTCAGTGGGCTCTACACAGGGGCAGATTTTTTTTAAAGGATGTCATGTACTTGTAACCTACCCACTTCTTAATATCCCAGCCATGCTTGTCTTCAACGTTACAGGGAGAACTGAAGTCACAAATGGAAAGTACTTTCTACAGTAACCAGAACATAACAAGCAGCCAACAAAAAATCGTACCCAGGTGGATTTTATTATAATAATAAAATTACTGCCTTTTAAATTATCATTACTAACAACTACAAAAAAATAGCAACAACTTTGCATCCAACAGGATGGCTGTTATTTAAAAAAAAACAAAACACACGGAAAACGAGTTGGCAAGAATGCAGAAGCAGCAGCACCCTTGTGCGCTGCCGGTGGGAATGTGATGTGGTGCAGCCATGGGGAAAACCGCGTGGCAGTTCCTCAAGACTTAACCACAAAATTACCATTTGACCCAGCAATTCCATTTCTGAGTATATACAGAAAAGAACTCAAAAGCAAGGACTCAAATATTTATCAACCACGCTCTTAGCCGCATTATTCACAACAGCCAAGAGGTGAAGGTAACCCAAGTTCCCATCAACACGTAAATAAAATGTTGTAAATACATAAAATATTATTCAGCCTTAAAAAGGAAGGTAATTCTGCCACATGCAAAAGCGTGGAAAACCCTTGAGAACTTTATGCTGAGTGAAATAAGCCAGTCAAAAGACAAAATGATACACTTACATGAGGCACCAACGGTAATGAAATTCAGAGACAGAAAGTAGAACGGTAGAGGCCAGGGGCTGGGGAGGAGAAGGGGGACTGCATAACTGGAACAGAATTCAGTCTGAGAAGAAGAAAAAGTTCTGGAGGTGAACGGTGGTGATGGTTATGAACTGTGGATGTATTCAGTGCTACTGAACAGTACATCTAAAAATGGTAAAAATGGTAAACTGCTTCTTACATATACATATATACACAATAAAAAATAGAACAGGTGTGTGCTGTTCCTAAAAATTCCAACAGCAGAGAAGTTTACAATTAGGGGCTGCGTGCTGCTTTATTAAAATACCTATTTTCGAGGTTGCTACCGAGAAAATATTTCTACATCTAAATTGTCATATTCCCATTTATAAATTTTTTCTTGCTACCTTAGAAAAACAAGAGCAGCCATTCACATTCCCTGAGCTCCTACTCTGCCAGACTCCATACACACGGTACAAACCTTAACGACCTAATTCCAAGAGACCTCACAAGGGCGGACTATCATCCTCATTTTCCATCTGAAACACCTGTGGCTCTAAGGGTCAGTCACCCAAGCCCCAGAGCACAGCTATCATTTCACATCATGCTCTTTCGACACCTCGCTATGTATCAGCTATTCTCAATAAATCACTCTCCCCAGCAGAATCAGAGAAACTGTATTACACAACGGTGCTTTTCAACCACAGAGGCAAAATGCAAGTAAAGTTACCTGAGTGATGCGCCCTTAACAAATCCTGCCCTGCCTCTGTCACGCCCACACACTTCTCCTTCATGACTCAATTTCTGAAATCTTCCTTCTTTTATATCTCAGAGCACCTACAACCAAGGCCAATATAAATGCAGATCTGAACATTATATACACATATACGTGAATCCGCTTTGTGTGGATATATATAAAAATCCATTGTGTGTACTCATTAGTATAATGGTTAAAAAAAAAGAGAGAGAAAATAAAAATCCACTGTGCATGTATATGTATGTGTGTGTACGCACAGAAGAATCCACTGTGTGTATATGTGCACATATATGAATCTACTGTGTGTATATGCATGTGCATACATGTCTATCGTATGTACGTGTGTACATCCAATGTGTGTGCATATGCAAATAAATCCACTATATATGTATACATAGATATGAATCCATTGTGTGTGCATATATAAATAAATCCATTGTGTATGTGTGCATATATGAATCCATTATGTGTACATGTGTATGTATGTGCACATGTATATACATGAATCCACTGTGCATGTGTGCATATATGAATCCACTGTGCACATGTGTATGCACATATATATGAATACATTGTGTACATGTGTATGCATATGTAGATACATGAATCCACTGTGTGTGTATATTTATGTTAATCCATTGTGTATGTGCACGTGTGATAATCCACTATATGTGTATGTATGTATATATGAATCCATTGTGTACCTGTGTATGTGTGCATATGCATATGTCTATACATAAATCCATTGTGTGCATATTTATAAAATCCATTGTGTATGTACATGTGTGCAAATATGAATCCACTGTATGTATATATGAATCCATTATTTATGTACATGAGCATGTGTACATGTGTATATAAAAATCCATGTACACCACGTGTATGTACATGTCTGTATGCATACATGTGAATCTGTTGTGTGTGTACGTGTGTGCATATATATGAATCCACTGATGTCTGCAGGCACATACATATACATACACACACACATGAATCTATCATACGTCCCTTGAAGGAAGAACTACATGGTTGTATTCAGAAAACCTAGTACTCTCTTCTCAGTAACGCTAACTGACGGAATGAAGAATGGCTAACTAACACCTGTGTTCAGGAAGCTGCACAATAAATATTCCATAACACACATATTCCCTGAATACAGAATGCCTGCTGGGAACTCAAATCACTAGCTTTACAGAATTTTCACAGCCATACACGCATGACGTAAATCACAACCACTAAGCTTCTGAGAGAACTTTCAATTCCACGACAAGCACGACAGCTGAGCAGCCACAGCCATGTGCCGAGGACCACTGTTCTCTCATAATAACTAAAGCCCCAAGATCAGAAAGTCCATGAAATAATGCTGAACAACCAGAAAACATAAGGAAGGGATGCGTTTGTAAAATACCATCACTAGCACAAAGAAAATGACAGAAATTATGTAACTGCACATCACTGCCAAAAGTACCACAGTCACAAAAATTAAACAGTCTGCGCATCACCAACTCCACGTCCTGACACCGGCTCTAAAAAGGGATCAATTCTATCACAGCACAACTGAGGTACTTCTCTTCACGCTTGGAACATGCCAGGATGAAAGGAAACGCTGGCTGGTCACTGCAGAGCCCCTGATCCCAGGGCCCCAGTGTGAGGCTGAGGTGAAAATCCATTACATCAAATAGAAAACTGTATCTTAAGACCAGGTCATGTGCACAGGTTCACCTGGAGAGTAAACACTATGTAAAGTACATTTACTTCTTTCTGCTCCTCATCGCAAAGAAAAGCCACATACAGGCCATGCTCGGCCACTTACCGCTGGCCTTGACCTCACGCACGTAGTTGCTGGGGAACCAGCCGGTCCGGCCATTGAGTGTGCCCTCCCACCAGCCTCCCTCTTCCACGCGGGTAACATGGATGACATCTCCTTTTGAGAAGGAAAGCTCGTCCTCATTGTTCTGCTGGAAGTTAAACTTTGCTCTTACTACCAGTTGATTGTTGCTATTATCGGTCATGTCCTAAAACGGGAAGAAAGGCGGGAGAAAAATTATACCAAGAACAGTCTACTTCATTATAAAACAGATCATACTTTACCAATACAAAGGTAGCGTCATTACCCAGGAGCAGAAGAACGTTCACAGAAATGTCAGCTTCCTTCCTTGCAGTGCACTGTGACCAACCCCAGCACCACTCCAGCCCCAGAACACACCCTCTCCACAGCATGCACAGGTCCTGCTCTGCCACTGTGACACCTACCTAATCAGACATGTCCGCGTACATGCAGACGGAGTCACACTACACGCACTTCTCCACAAGTCACAGAAGTGAAGACCTCATGGCCATTCCTCTGGCCGTACTTACCAGTGCTAACACACGGCTTAACGTTATACCACATGACCATGCCACTCATCACTGAGTCCACTCTCCACGAGTGGACTTTGAGATTATTTCCAGTATAGTTCCATACACCACACACTGTACTTTCCCAGTGTAGTCAAGGCTGCATTAAAAATGCTTGGACATCTGTCTTTGAATACACTTGTAAATAAGCCTATAAATTAAACTCTGGTCAGAAGACATACTTATTACAGTTAACTTTTTAATACATCTTTCTAAATTGTCCTCCAAGACGTTTCTACAAACTACACCAAGCGATACCCCCACCAATACCTAAAAGTTCTTATTTCATCAAACTTTAACACTCAGCATTGCCAAACTTTTCTATTTTTGTCTGACAGGAAAAAATAGTGGCTCATATTTTAATTTGCATTTTTCACAGAAACTGTGCATATTTTCAGATTTCTGAAAGGCAGAAAGAGGAAGGCAGAGTGGCTGGGGCCTCTCTGATTTCCATCTGCCCTGGACGGAGCTCTGGAGAGGCTGGCAACGCAGAACTACCAAAGGGCGCAGCCTGACAACCCCAGAAGCCTGCTCGCACCAGCAAGGGCTCAGGGAAAGGGCCACCCAGCAGACCCCAGCTCTGGCCCACCCCACTTCCCTACCACTGACAGCAGGCAAGCCCAGCCCACCTGCAACAGTGTCCACACAGACTGTACAGAACGTCTAGAGCTCCAGCGAACACCAGTGACCTCAGCAGAGTCCAGGCCTCTATCCCCACCAGGTGGCAGCAGGCAATTCCATCTGCCCACACTTCTCCCTGCCCTCCAGCCAGCCACAGGGAAGACCTGAGACCACCCACACTTGCTGACCTACAGCCCCCGCTCTACCACTAGTAGGCCCATCATCGCCCCCACATCCAGCAACATTCGGTCCCAGGGACTTGTGGGAAATAACAGAATGTCAAACACTGCTATCTACCATCATCTCAGAAGCAGAGTTTGAGAAAGAGGGCAGGGCTGAAAAGCAATGTAAGAAATATGGCCCAAAATATCCCAAGTTTGGCAAAAGACAAATATACAAATCCACGAACCTGCGTGAACCTCAAATAGTAAAAACCTAAAGAAATTCAAACGAACTCATACCATAATCAAACTTCTGAAAACTGAAGCCAAAAAAGTTCTTAATAGGATAAAACACACCTACAGATATATAAGATCTCAAAAATTTACCTCCCATGCACCACTTCAAGGAGTTAAAAATGTGCTTCTCCAAAACAGGGGAATTAAAGGAAAAAAACTGAAGAGAAAGAGGCAGAGGAGATCTACGCTGTCAGGGGAGTGCCCCAGGTTACCACGGAGGCAGCAGCTGCGCAGCCAGCCTGGCTCACAACCAAGAGAGTTTAAAATGCAGCACAGGCTCCAGGAGCGTTTATCAGGAAATGAAGAAAAATAACGTGTTTGAATGTCAAAGAAGAGATCCTTAGAAACACACAAAAGACCAGATCTGCAACCTGCAAAACGTATACAGAAAACTAAACAAAGAAATGAGAATTACCAATTCACCCCGGAAAAAAAAACGCTACTCGAAAGTTAAGAATAGTCATAGTATAAAACGTGGCTCTGCTCGGAATACTATTCACCTTGTCATAACATTACCCTGAACCCCAATTTCAGTGAAAGGATGGTGGAACTCAGCCATGGGAAAGACAGGCCCAGGTGTTTATGCAGGTAAGGGAGCCAGGGGAGGAAAACAGCACCAGCCTCTCTTCCTCCATGGGAGTCCACATTGATACCACTTCAAATTAAGTAAAAAAAAGGTGCTTTATTTAGAGACACACAGGCCAATACCTACAAAGAACCAACAGAGCCTTGGGGGCAAAGCAAGACAGCCAAATAACCCTCCAGCGACTGCCCCCTCAGCCCAGCAAAACACCAAACTATCCATACTAGAAAGCACCTCCTTAAGAACCAGCACTCAGAGGTGATGTCTGCTAGAGGGGACGGATGCCCCCAGTTACTCTGAGACGATTATAACCCATTGTATGCCTGTATCAAAACAGCTCATGTACCCCATAAATATATATGTATATACTAGGTACCATAAAAATGAAAACAAAAAAAAGTGGGAAAAATGGAAAGTGGCTCAGTCTCTACTGTTTTTCCTAACAGCAGGTCTCAGAGAATTACTTGACTTTAAGTACATGTATAAATCACTGAAAAATAATGTTTTTAAAGGTAAAGCATCAAAGCAAACAGGCCCCAGCAGATGCTCAATAAGGAGTGGCTATACTCTTCCAAAAATATGTAATGCTTACCTATTTAAATGTGTTTACAGATTAAGCATTAATTATAAATATGTACTTAGCAATTCAAATTTGTAAGTTAAATATTTAATGCACATTTCGTATTTCATCAACAAACCTTTCTTCAGTGTTTGGCAACAAAAGCACCAGCAGACACCAGCGCAGACACAAAGCTCTCTGGCCCCTATGACCCACAAGGAGCAGGGTCAAGTTTGCCACTGCCACTGAAGCTCACATCCAGAAACCGTCACGTGGTCCTTGCTCTTGTGCGGTGAAACATGACCTGATCTCACCATGCTATGTCAAGTTCTCATTTTGCAAACCACCATCTCCACTCACCAGCTGTCTGCTGAGATCGCCAACGCTCTCCTGCAAGCAGTCCAACGTCACCTGGGCACCCGGGCCTTGTGGAAAACAGGCTCACAGTGCAAGCATGCTGCTGATCAGCTCCAACACCAGAACACAACTGTGGTGAGCAAAGCAAAACAGGCGCAGCAGGCCCCTCCTAGGTCAGGTGTCCAGGGTCACCCTCGGCCAGCCCTGAAGCTCCAGCCGGCACCAGGGCTGAGCCTGAACAGGAACGGAAGGGAGATAAGGGATGAACAAGAGGCAGCAGTGTTCCTCCTCATGGTCATGGGTGTTCAAATGCAGGTACACTCTACACTCAAGGCACAGTGAGGGAGGCACCCCTACTGACGTTACTTCATCAGTGTAACACCCCAGAAAGGAAGGGTGGAGTCTAAGGCGGGGAGGGCTCAAGGTGAGGTGCAGGGGGCAGGCAGCCATTTCAGATCCAGGTATCCAGGTGAAACATCTCAATGCAGCCTATCTTCATTCTTCAGCAGTCATTACACAGAAGGACGTGCAGGCTTCTGGAATGTCTCTTTCTGCACTATTACTCTTAAGACAGACTGCTCAGACAGCACGTGCCAAGAGGTGCTCCATCAGAGCACAAGAGGCAGGGACAAGCTAGAAGAGGGTGTCCTAAAAAGGCTATATTCCAACTACACACTCTACACCACCAAGTTCAGCCTAAGATCCCAGCAGGTGAGTGAGGGCTCCATGCACTATCAACAGTGTTACAGGAAGCGGGAAGAGAGGTATTCCATCACTACCTTATTATCGTGGGCTTTTCCCTTTTTTTAAAAGCTCTCCTGAAACTGCAGCCTGTCACCTGTCTAGACTCAACAAGACTAAGGAAGTCTAAATCATACTGGGCTGAGAAAAATTAAGCCAATCGTTTAAAAAAAAGAGCGGGGCGGGGGGGGTGTATGCCATAGAATCCCATTGCTAAAAAATACAAAAATGGATAAAACTCATCTTTACCATCAGACAGGACAGTAGATGCCTTGGGGAACACGAGTCCTGCTGAGGAGCTGGGAGGCCAGTCATGCTCTGCCTCCTCATCTGGGTGCTCCTTATAAAACCTCATCATGCTGTACATCATGCTGTATGTGCACAACACATGAACTGTTTTTCTATGTATATTACATAGAAAATGTAATAGAACCATTACATAGAACTGTAAATAGAACACTACATAGAAAATGTTTTTCTATGTACATTACGTGTCAATAAAAGTAACTGGAGGGAGTGAAGACAGTTCCCCAACTGCCCTAACTGCCCTAACCCAAAGGGAAAAGAGCCCTATCCAGGCATACGTGACCCTGGCCGGGATCCGTCACCTATGCCCACCAAGCTCCGTAACAACCTCTTTCTGATGCCTAGAGCCGAAGCACCACCCATCTGTATCTTGGCATATTAAACTTAATCACTTGTTTGCTTTATTACATCCCATGTTCTGACATTATCCTAACAATCCAAAACAAGGACACTCCGGAGTGTTGCTTCACACTAACTCTACCCTCTCCTCTCCTCTCTACTAAGAGCACCTGTAATTTCCTTTTCAGAAGAAGAAAAGCTTGTCAGGGTGAGAGACACAATTTTGACTTCAACTTTACTATTTCCGAGTGCTGTGATCTTGTATGAACACCTTCTCTAAGCTTCAGTTTCCTCATAATATATGTCATCCAATATAAGATGCCAAAAATTAGACGATGCCTTGAGATTTCACTAAATACTGCCAGATTATGGCATATCATCACTGCAAGATACATGTACTTTCAGATGTGTTAAAATGACTTAAAGAGAAGTCTTCGAATTGACAAAATATGGTAGATTAAAGCACAATATTATCTGTGTTTACTAAACAGCGAAGTTAAAAATATTTAACAATGTGTGCAATACACTTGGATATCATTTCTTGCAAGTCTTGGAAATACACTTGGTGACTGGTATAAAGCAAGGCTACCTGCCAGCATCAGGACTGTGCCAGACGTTCAGGTCCCTGGTTTCCAGAAGCAGCAGAGGAACCACTTTAAAAAATCAAGTCACCTCTCCCAGAAATGAAGGATGATGGGAACAACCACCTCATAAATGCTGTCCCCAAACTCTGAGAACAGGATCCAGCACTCAAGGCTGAACCTATCAGTGGCCAGCAGGTGAAGACTAAAAGCACAGCAGAGACACCAGTAATTCCAGCAGTGTTGATCAACGTTCTTAAGAACGAAATGTGAATGCACGCCTTATCTATGAGGAAAACCATTCTACGTTCTTCACCACGGAGACCCACCACGGAGCCGAACTGGACAAAGAGCTTGATTTAGCTCAGCCTCTGGAAGTGGGTAAGAACTCTCCCAAGGAAAGAAGAGTCGGGGAAAGGAGAAGAGGCAAGGCAAGTTAAAACCTCTATTTCAGTGAAAAGCAGTAAATGCAACATCAAAACTGTTCAAGCCTGCCTATATCCCAAGGCAGGAAATCTGTCCTGGGGCAGGGGACTGACAGTTTCACAGATGAAAAACAACCTTAAAAAAACACCCAGCAACTGCAGTGGTGGCTGAGGGAGGTGTTCTTACACTTAAAGGCAGGCAGGTGGTGAGGGAGCGACGTGATAGCACAGGGGCGTGAACAGCAGCAGCCCTCGGAACACTCATCCTCGCCTGGGGTAGAAGCAGCTCACACAATTGCAAAGCTCAGCTTTAATATGATCTCAAAACTGACGTTCAAGAAACCGCAAGTTGCCTTTTAGCTCAACTTTTTATCATGGAAACGTTCAAATATACACAAAAGGAGAGAATGATGGGTGGGCCTCCATGCACCCACCAGCCAGCTTCAAGGGAATGTTTGGCCATTCTTGTTTCAAGATAAATTTTTAATCCAAAAAAACTACCTCAAAGTACCACTGATAAACTATACACAGAAAAACCTAAGTGTAAAGAACACTCATTCTTACCTAGCATGGCTGAGAGAGGTCTTGGCACGTTCCGTAAAAGAGAAGGCAGCTCACTAGCACCCAATCAAAACATCAATCAGCCCCAAAAAGACTTCACACAGGTCAGAGAGCTCAAGTCTTTATTTCTAGTATAACGAAATTTCTGTAGCTAATGAAAAATTAATCCTATACTTATTATGATCGCAGTAACAATCCCAACATTACATTTAACTTTATTTTACTTAAAATTATACATTTGTAACCCAATACTCCTCTACACAAAAAGAAAAAAATCACCTGAAAATTGTCACCAGTGAATGGGTGAGACAGCTTTACCCAAGGCATGCTCATTTCTCTGACATTTTCCTCGTGTTTTACAGAGCTAACTTCAGGTATGTTTAAAGTGGTTTGTTTAGTTCTCCTTAACTTAGAATCCTAACGCTCTCAGTGACAGTCCACAAAACTCCTCCAGCACAGACTCCTGCAAAGGAGGAAACGGCAACAGCCAGGCCTCAAGGGGCACTGTGAGGACTGCAGCACTCCGCCCATGCAGTCCACACCGCACACCACACACAGCGCCAGGAGCAGTGAGACTCCTCAGGGCTCCTCTGAGAGGAGACACAGCAATGAGAGCAAGCTTGGTTCAAAAAGTTCAGAAACATAAAAATCACATTCCTTGCCTATCGTTCCATTTTTAACAATGCTTCATAAACCACTCAAATTTATTTCCCTCTACAAAACAGGACTCTATCTAAGTTAACTTTTATTTCTTGAGGGTCGCCATCAGCTTACTTAGACATTCCATGTTAAGGCAGAGGAAAATCCATGGACCCTGAACACCTCTAGAATAGGGTTCTCTCTAGACTCACATTACAACATCACTATGTTTCTAACGAAGTACTGTACTGAGAGAGAGTAGTGGTATCCCCATCACTGCCCGCCAGCCTGAAGCTCAGAGAAGGGTGCAGACTGCAGAGTGGCAGTCCCAGCTCTGCCCCAACATTCTCCAGGCAGCCCTGCGTCAACCTGCTTGAATTTCTCATTTCCAGCTTCACGGTTACATTCCGGGGGGTTTACTCACAGCCTGTATCCTGAGCACTAACAAACAAGTATTTCTTCACTCTCCAAGACGACTGTTCCATCGTTTAAGTTTCTTTCTCTGCTTCCCAGTCATCCATTCTGAGGGGGCTTCCCTCCTCTCTAAACTAAATCCTGACTTAGTAAAGCACACTAAGCCATGCTTTCATGAAGAGGAAAAAAAAGCCAGATTCTTTAGTTTGAACCATGTCTTCTCTGCAGAGCTGAGTACTTTTACATACGAATTTCTTATCCTCATATTTCTGTCCATGTGCATAGCTGATAATGCCATGCAGGTGATGAAGGATGCATTTTAAAAGCATGCATCACTCCAGATGTCAACAGTTATGAGTCTTGCAATACAACCTAAAAACAAATGAGTTTCTCAAAAGCACTCATTAAGTATAACATCTGGATAATCTGGTAATGAACAAACACCAAACCAGATTACAGGAGCAACGGAGGCAAAGTCCCACTACCTTCAGCTGCTTAAGGTAATTAACGAGGCACATGTATCTTTCCAGATACATCCATAGGCACTCACATCCTCCCAAACATATTTAAGTAACAAAATCTCTCAAACTTACCAAACTCCGATACTGGCCCTGGAACAGCTTTGAAGTCCGAGTGTGCAAAGACTGCGATCCCAGGGAGTCGAAAGACTTTATGCGGTGAGATGAGGGCCGGGCGCACACGGAGTCACTCCCCAGACCGATGTCTGCAAAGGGCGTGCACACAGAGAGAGAGAGCTGAGAGCGCCTGATACCACGCACCCACACTACACATTCGACTTGAAAACTAGGCCAGCACAGAGGGACACACCAAAGACCACAACAAAGCAGTCCATTTACGCAGAAAACAAAGAACAAATTCTTTTTACATAAATGCCTTGCATTCATTCCCCAACTACCTTTCCAGAAATTATCTGGAGATAACTATTAATCACTTCTTATCCAGTATAATTTTTCAGAAGTCTGTGAAATGTATTATAATCATGATTTTCCCTTCACCTGGAAAAAAGAGCCTCTCAACTTCGATTACGGAGCAGAGAACAAACAAGCACTGAATCTCCAATGCATCATCACCATGTGCCCACTTTTCCAGGACTACGCATCATGCAATAAGCAACAGGAATTATTTTGCAACAAAAGGGAAAGACTCTTATCTAAAATAGAAAATCCCGGTGTCTTTTTCGGCCAGAGCGAACCTTGTGAAGATTATTTCCTCAAAACTAAGGCAGCACATGCTATACTCACCTCATGAAGTTGAGAGATCAGAGTAAACAGACACTAAAAGGTTTTATTGGTTCTATTCCCTGGATCCCCTTTCTGGGTATAAGACACTCCACAAACACCAAGCAACAAATAAATAATAGCAACTTACTCTTAAAAGTGACTCAATTTAAAAAAAAAAAAAAAAAGGTGGGGCGGGGGGGCTATGAAAAAGTTTGCTGGGAAAATCGCTGTTCTGAGAAGCATGTGCCCAGCAATGTCCTAAAGCTCAAAGGAGCCTTCCAAAAAAGCACACCTAAGTCTCCAGGTCCCAGCTTCCTAGCAGATGTCTAGATTGGCTTACACAGTATCTGGTAAACGTCTAGAAGTCTGAAGTTATCACCAAAAACGCAGATTCTCCACTGCTCCTGAGACATTTAGGATGCAGCCACACCAGGTCTCTATCCCCTCAGGTAAAGGTGGCTCAGAGCTGGGCAGGGGCTATCCCGAAAGGACCCAGCGTCCATGCCCTTCCGCCCAGCTCCTCCCTTCACGCCACCCGCCTGACCCTGCAGACGTGGGCTTGCCATCCCAAGAGTCTCAAATTCTTCTCAGGTCACCCAAGCACCCTGTATTTCCGAGGATCTGCTGAGGGTAGGTTGCCAGTAATGTCCAGAGGGCATGCTACTTGAGAACTCTGGGATGTCAGGCAACCTGCAGCACAAAACCAGCCACGAGAGCATTTCCAGCAAATTCTACAGGGCTCCCTGCCACAGCTGCCATGCTCTGCTGGCCCTGGCCTTCAGGGAACTCTCATACAAGGAGGGCACCCTCAAGACGTGTACTTCCCCACCACCAAGCTTTCTTCTATCCAGTTAAAAGGCCAGGTACAGTCACCTAAATGCCTTGAGAACACATAGGGTTTTAAGTGACAAAAACAGAAAGACAATGACAATTTCCCAAGAATGCCCACGGTAACTGTGGCTGCTACAGCCGTCTCACTGTTCGCCAATCAAGGAAAGTTGAAATCTACAAAGATAAGAACACTGCCTGCACACTAACTTCGAAAACAAAAACAAAGGGCAATTGGCCAACAAACAGAAAAGCAAAACACTCCTTCCATCTGGAAGGGGTCATTTCTACAGTTTAAAAGCTAAAAAGTACCAGGTTTACCTCATAACTTCCACATTGTCTTTGTAAAGAACAAAGCTACCTATTTTACATCCAACACATAGCCCAGGATACCAAGAACATACAAGAAATACAATTCCATATTTCCATAAGGTGGAATAAAAACCAGTAGCCCCAGAGTGACTGGGTTCTGGCTTCTATTATTTACTTGTAAGTCCTACCGTCTCAAACCTTGACAGTTGACAATCCCAAGGCCGAGTGTACAAATTAAAGCCATCGTCTAAAGCCACTGCTTCCTAATTAGCACCCCCCACTTACAACATAGGCAGAGAAAATGTCTACAGCGAAATTCAAAGTTACTCTCTTCTGCTCCTATGAACAAACCTCTACAAAGGTATTCAACGGGAACAGAGGAATCGAATTCAAAATTACCTGCAGATTTTATTTATCTGTGCTATTGTCCCATCTGTCACAGAGACCTATGCTAATTATAAGACACAGCATTTAGGCCAGGCAAGGTGGCACATGCCTGTTTTTGGGAGGCCAAGGTTTGCAGACAGCTTGAGCTCAGGAGTTCAAGACCAGCAAAATCTCGTCTCTACAAAATAATACAAAAATTAGCCAGGCATAGAGGTGCACACCTATAGATCCAGTTGCTCAGGAGGCTTAGGTGGGAGGATCACCTGATCGCCTCAGGAGGCTGAGGCTTCAACGAGCTGAGATCACGGTTGTGCTCCAGCCTGGGTAAGACCCAGTCCCCATAAAAAAATCATGCAAAACTTTGAGGCATGGATAAATCCCCCATGTGGTCAGGACATGCGGAATATGCCACCTTCTGTGAGTGATCTGTGGCAGTACTCCTTGTATTAAATTCCGGTGATCCACTCTAAATGTATGTGCCTTTCTATAAGTGATTTTCTTACTATTTGTTCATATTAAAACTATCATTTTTATATTGTAGAGACAGAAGGCATTCAATAATGCAACAATTTTAACTAGTTATATCCATCTTCATAATCCTGCCATTGAAATTTTTTCCTAGATGCTTTCATCTGAACAGCCCTTTAAACCTCAGAAGTCAAGCTGTGAACATTCGGCCATGTCCACACCTCTGCCTGGGGTCTGCCCCTGATCCCAGGAATGGCGGCCAGTGCCTCTCGCCCGGGGCACCAGCAGCAGCAGCAGCTCCCAGAGAGCAGTCAGAGCATACGTGCTCTGGGAGGCAGCACCAAGGACAGCCCCTGCACCACCGATTAAGTCTCCCAGAGCCAGGAACTGCAGCCCAAAGTGTTAGTGACCCCAGTCAGTGTCTCCTCCATATGCGGTGAGACAAGTACATCCCAGTCTGAAGGGCCAGAAGAAACTGAGAAGAGACCCTGACAAAATAAACTCAAGAGGTTTCCTTTTCAAAAGAAAAGGACATGTCACTTTCCCCCACAAATCTGATAGTTAACATCTGTCAAGGTAAACAGAAAAAACAAAATTACTCTAAAACAAAAATACAACTAAAAAGTTCCTTCCTTTCGAGCCACGCAGAGATCTAAGAAAGAGCCCCTCAGGGCTTATGGAGCATTTCTTCCGGGGACCTTGGCATCATGGACAACATGCGCCTTCCCTCAAGGTCCTTGCCTAAACAATTCCTGCCCTCACTGTGGCCCATGAGAGGGGCACACTATGTCCCCAAAGCCTCCTCTCCACTTCAGTACTAATGGGGGCTAAGACCCCACAAACCATGTATCCGGGTGCCACAGCCCTCAGGAGCCCTGGACAGGTGGTGAGGACTTTACAGGCCAATCCATAAGCCACTCCCTTATGGTCACAGCTGAAAATTTCTGCTCACTCGATACAAACTTTAATCAGCACACATTCAATAAAAACCCAGAGAAAGGTGATTCTAGCTCCAAGACTTCCCATGAGAACTAGACACTTTTCTCCTGCTATACCTTCAGGTGAGAAATCTCTCCACCCACAGAAAGGAAAGCCCCTGATATATACCAGAACATTTAAAGAAGATTCTGTTCTAATAAGGAAAATAAAATATCGCAGCAAAAGGAACAATCAAAATGTAATGCAGCAGAAGCTTATTTTTTCTAAATACAATAATGCTCCCCTGGCTTTGGAAAAACAAGAAACCAAAGTGTCCACCCTTATGTCTTCCCACCCCCTCGAGTGCAATAAAAAGAGTCTTACCTGCTGTTACTTTATTTAGAGTCACTAAGGAACTGAGGACCTTGTTAAAATTCTGCCCCTGATACAAATCATTTGCATCAAACGTCTGAAAGGAAAAATTAAACAAGCAAAATTAGTAGGGTCTTCGTTGGGTGCAGGTTGAACCAAGTTCTCCCAGCAATGTGGTGAGGCTCTGCCTGAAATCCTAAGGCAGCCACACAACCTGTGACAGGGAGACCAGCGTGCTCATCTCCAAGTCCCGGGGTAAGGATCCAATCAGAATCCTCACTCAGGGGCAGGGTACCCCCACGGCATTAGACCAGTTCTCTGTCCAACACCGCCCACCCCTTTTTACATGCTGGTGTGTGAGCTTGTTCACAGGGGAGGGGAGCAGGCTGCTGGCATCTGGCAAGCACACAGCCTGCCTGTGCAATCCTCCTCTCCTTAATCAACGCAGAGGCCCCAGGGCAAGGCATGCTACACATGTTCTTTCCTGGTCACAGAAAGGAAGGGAAAATGACAGTCAATTCCAAGGCCAACAGCAGCAAAAGAAAACGCGGACATCAGAAAACTGAGTGGATATGAGGATAAAAGCAGGAAAGAGGAGAAGCAGATCCCAAATGGGAAAGGGGTAGGGACAAGAGACCACCATCACCTCAGAGCTCTGAAGCCAGAACCAGGCAAGCCCCAGACCGCACCCCCTCCAATCCAGGGCCGTCTCAAGACCTGGGACCATGGCGGAGTTGGTCACATTGCCACTGGTGGGCACTTCCTACCACCCGCCCACACAGGTTGTGTGGCCGCCTTAGGAGGTTGGAAAGATGAAGCACATCGGTTTGCCTAGCTTTGTTGCAAGTAGAGTCTAGAAGGCATGCACACACACAGCCATGTCAAAGAGCTGGGGATTCCATCTCTGGCTCCCCTTCCACCATCCTCGTGGAAGCGTTCTCTCTCCCCGGGATTGCCCCCTCTGGGGTCCCCTTCCACTCAGTATGGAAGCTGCCTTCCTCTCCAGGATTCCATACTTGGGTCCCCTTCCACAATTGTCGTGGAAGCTTTCTCTTGCTCATCTCTCTCTCTCTCTCTCTCTCTCTGCCTAAATAAATCACTTTCTGGGAAAAGAAAAAAAAAAGCTCTCATTTCAGATACCTCGCAAAGACTACATATGGCTTCTGATCACCAAATAACCTCAAGCAAAAATAAACCATCAAATCATCTACAACTGTGCTCCAGAAAAATTAAGAAAAAATTTTTCAGAGGTGCAAATAACAGAAAGATGTATTTAAATACCAAAACGTGTATCCTGTTGCCATATGTTCTAACTGAGGTTACCAGAAATGGGCATCCGTGGGCAAGGGCCCGCCTTCTCCCCAGGGCTGCCCTCCCCCCACACCTCTAGCACGCCCTACAAGAAGCCCCACTTCTCCAGCTCTTCCTGCCTTCCGTCCCCTCCCTTTCCTGGCTAATCCTTATTCATCCTGCTTCCCGACAGAGCCCCGCCTTGACAGCCTTGCTGCCCCCACCACACCCAGTCAGGTCCCCAGCCAGGCTCCCCCAGAACATGTGTCATGATAGTCTAATGGTGGATGTCTACAGGCGTCCCTGGACTAAAAAAGCTGCAGAGGCAGACTGTACATCTCCCAACACCCAGCACGGAGGCTGCTACACAGTGACAGGCAGCGGAATGGAGACATGCACCAGACTCCAACCAGCCACCCAGCCTGCAGGCGCTGCATGCTGCTGTGATGAGGCTCCCGCCAAGAGAAGCTAAGAAAAGGGACGCCAATCATGAAAAGCCCGGTATTATTCAAAATTCATCTCCAGCCAAAGGCTTTCTGTCTATAATTTTTGAAATAAGTAAAAATAGTTGTGCTTCTTTAAACATAAATAAAAACAGAAAAATCAGAAGTTGAAAAACTACCTCAAGAAAAAAAGCCATCAAATCACTAACAGAGTCAAGAAAGGAGCTGAAAACCAGAGGTCACTTTCTTAAAGTTCACAAGAAAATATGGAATGAAACCACAAAATGTAAAAGGAAAGCTGTGAATACATCTAAACCTTCTATGTGCTTACTGACACCATTTCTAACATGAAGCGCTAAATATAACTGATTTCGTGAAGCTAAATCCTTCCTCGTAAAAGTCCTTAGAATCACCTTTCACACAGAATATATTTGCTGTAATATTTATTATTTAAGAAGAAATTCCAACTCCAATGAGAGCATCATCTAGGCTGACAAAACCATCTATGACAAATATAGGTTAAGCTGTATTTTTAAAAAAGAATTAAGTAGGCCTCAGCTTCCTTATATGCAAAACATAAAATTTCTATTCGTCATAAAATGTTTAAATGAGAGATCTCATTGTCTTTCAACACTACACATCTAATTTGAGAGCTTGAAAAATTAAAGTCATGGTATACAACGAAAAGAAATGCATATATACATTTCTACTAACCTTCATATTGGCAAAGCAGCAAGTCAGAAAACCCAGAATAACAGGATGCGAAAAATGGGAAGTTTCCTGTTATTCCAGAACTATATATCTTTCTTACTTAACTACCAGGAAGCATCTGATTGGCTGAAACTGCCCACCAATGGGCTTCAATATGACATCAGAGCTTAAGTGAATACACACACCACACTTCTCAACAGGAAGCTAGACAATGAGATGAGGCAAATCCCTACTACTGAGAGTGGAAAATGCACATTCTTGGCCAACAGAATGTTTAGATTGAAGTGCATCTATAGAGAAAAATAGCAGACTATTTCCTAAAATAACATCTATTCAACAAAAAAAACAAAAACAAAAACAAAATCTGAATACAGAGAAATTTTGTACTATGGGAATAAGAGGAAAGTCTCAACTTTGATAGACTTATCTTTGTGAAAAGTAAATCAGTGTGTATATAAGAATTACCATGGCATTTAACACGCTAAATTGTTCCCTAGAGTTATGTCGGCAGGTCGTCTTAGACAGAATTCATTCACTCCCCACCACAACCCACTGGGTGCTTTAAAAAGCAGTACTTCCACTCCTGGCAAGGGCAAGGGGCAGCAGGAGGGAAGGAAGTTAAAATGGTATTCCATTGTCTCCAGGCTCAGCCTCGAGAGCAGTGATTCTCAGCAGGAGCTGCACATTAGGACCTCCTGGGGTGCCGTAAAAGGGCAGGATACTCCAGTCATGTTCTGGAGTCTCTAAGGGAGAGACTCTGAAATCAAAATGCTAATCCTCTCCCAGTGACTCCAATTCACAGCCAAGGGTAAGATGCTCCTGGTGAGATAAGGAAGGTCACTGGGAATCCTGCCCAGCAAAAGGCTCACAACACCGGCACAGGCACATTTCCTGCCATCTGGACCACCCCGCACAGGCACCATGCTGGGGAAGAGCAGGGCTGCACAGACACACTTTGCCCCATGATACACTTTAGGATCTATCTATTTGGAAAAGCTTATTTAAAACACTCACCCTTACTTTTACATTTAAGTGCATTAAATGTGCAGTGGAATGATCTGATATTCCTAAAATAAAATCATCCTACCAGTTTTCCACCAGAAAATATTAAAATTTAGCATTTATTTTTGTTATTTTACTTTCAATACAAACTACATAATGAAATACAATAAATATCAAACTAGGGAATTAAAAAAGCCCAGAGTATTCAAATAAGGATAGAAAAATACTTTCTTAAAAGTTCCCATTATCTCTGAGTTTTCAGTCTTAAAGTTTTTTGTTTTGCTTTTTGTTTTTTAAAAAAGGAAAAAAAGTTCCCACGGTCGAACACAAAACGGCACAACACAGGTGGCACGTTGCTGGAAGGAGGTGGAGGCGCTGGAAGGAAGAAGAGAACTGAGTCATAAAGCGGAGCCTCCCTGGGTGAAGCATGGCCACCTGCTTGCTACAGCCCTGCCCTGGGCCCCTCAGGCCTCAGACTTCCCATCCTTACCAAGAAAATGGGAACACACTTAAGAACAGGAAGCAGCAACTGGAATGTCCCACACCTTTGAAAAGAAAAGGGCACGCTGAATCCCACTTATCAAAACAGACCTGCAGATAATTCCATTCCGCCCAGGAAAACTCTTAATTTTAAAAATGCAAAATAACCACAAGAAAAAGCCCAGTGAACAGAGAGAAGAATCATCTACATTACTTACAGGTCAACCCTATCATTCAGAGATAAAAATAAAGTCCTAAAATACAAGGACTTTCCCAAGTCTACTCTCTGAGTCACTACGATTGACAGTCTTTGGTTGTCAACCCCATTAATAAAAAATTAAAGTATGTTCGTTAGACCTCATTTCTCTTGCAATGCTTTGCAGAAACTGCTTCTTAGGAAGCTGAATTGTAGCTGGCATTGTTTAGGAAAATTATCTTGCCTTCTATGAAATACACAGGCCTTATATAGAGCAATTTGGGCATAAAAAAGAACAGCTAGAAGGTGCTAGACTATCAGACCGTAGAAGAACGGAGCGAGACACAGAGAAACTACCTGAGGAAGGCTTCTACAATCGTAGGTCAGAGAACTTCAGCCTCAGGGACCAGGGGACGAGGGGGATTTCAACAAACCCTGCGGAGAGACTGGAAAGAGCCACAAGCCTGGAGGTCAAGTTCTAGACCAGAAGACAAAGGCATGGAGGAGGACCAAGGGCATGGTTTTTTAATTGAACACTGCACATCATTAGTATTTAAAACTGAGGGAAATCCCTCCCCTGAGCCAAAGAGGAAAAAAAATATCTTCAGTATCTCATCCCCATCCACTTCACTGCGTCTTCACTGAATAAGCAGCTCCTGGGCACCTATAAACGCCAGACACTACGTCTGTCCACAATTCTGTGCCATGAAAAACAAGACTGATACCATGCATGACCCTGCACTGGGCCATTCTGGATAAACCATCTACAAAGCGTACCTGGGCACACCTGGGAAATGTGAACACAGACCACGTATCAGATGGTGTTGAGACATCCATCACTAACACTGTCATGTATGACAGACATTACAATTTAGGCTATGTTAGAACATGGAGCTATTTTTGGAGAGATCGTTTTGAAAAATTTAGGGGTATAATGTCATGATTAATATAACCCAGGTGAAAATATGTCAGAAT